TTATTATATTATTATTATTATTATTATTATTATTATACAGGATTTATATAACACCAAGAGTTTGCGCAGCGCTTTACAATATAAGGAAGACATTGCAGCTACAATACAATTCAAGACAGGATGGTAATGAGGGCCCTGCCCCTGAGGGCTTACAATCTAAAAGGGAGGGGCAAGTGATACATGAGGAGGTAGTTGTGTGGGGATGAATTGCTTGAGAACAAGATGGTTGAGTGGTTAGGGTGAGGTGGGATAGGCTTCCCTGAAGAGATAAGTCTTTAGTGATCGTCTAAAGGCAGTCAGAGTGGGAGATAGTCAGACAGGATGGGGTAAAGAGTTCCACAGGATGGGAGAAACTCTAGAGAAGTCCTGGAGGCGAGCATAGGAGGAGTTGACAAGGGAGCTGGAAAGCAGGAGGTCTTTGGAAGAGCGGAGGGGACAGTTAGGGTGATACTTTTAGACAAGGTTGGAGATTTCGCGGGGGGCAGAGTTGTGGAAGGCTTTGTAAGTCGTTGTTAATATTTAGAATTGTATCCTTTGGACAATTGGAAGCCAGTGGCGGGATCGGCAGAGGGGGGTTGCAGACGGTGAAAGGTTGGTTAGGTGAGTCTGGCAGCTGCATTCATGATAGACTGAAGGGGGGAGGAGCCTGTGTAGTGGTAGGCCAATGAGAACGGAGTTGCAATAGTTAAGACGAGAGATAACAAGTGAGTGGATGAGTAATTTAGCGGTTTCTTTGGTGAGGAAGGGGTGTATTTTGGAGATGTTGCAAAGGTGAAGGCGGCAGGATTTGGATAGTGATTGGATGTGGGGAAGAAAGGTGAGGTCCGAGTCAAGGATGACACCTAGCACATTTGCATGGGGGGAGGGTTGGATATTGTGTTATCAATCTCAAGGGAAAAGTTGGGGGAAGGTGCGAGGGCGGGTTAGAAAGCTTTCCATACACATTACAATCTAACTGTACAGTCCTACTTAACGGTCCAATTAATTTGTATCCAATCAGGCCCTTGCACTACATGGTTGAGAGATAGTACAGTCAGATTGTTACATACTGAATGTGGTGAGCTTAAAGCTGGCCATTCACCAATAGATTTTTGATCAGGAAATTTTCATTGCTGCCAAGAACCCTTGTTCGATTCTAACTCAAATAGCCCATACAGCACAGACCAATGTCGATTTCAATAATCGTTCCTAAGCAGTACCAACTCACCGAATTTTGTCGATCGACAGAGCAGATTTTCATTTGCACATGTGCAGTGTTCTTGCTGCGATTTTATTCGTACAGAAACGCCACTAATCCATCGATTTTCGTACGATTCCAAAAAACTATTTCCATCCTCACTCTTTGAGAAAATCGGAGCGGGATTACAGTAAAAACAAAATCGTTGGTGTCCCATCAACGGCTCGGTTATCGTTCGAAAGACCATTTGTGAAAGATTTCCGAACGGAAATCGAAGAGTGTATGGGCGACTTTAAGGTGCTGTTTTACCTTTTGTCCATCCAGTTTCCAGGTCTGAGATTTACACAGCTGCGCCACAGAGCATAGCTCTGTCTAGCAGGACCGAGGTCCTGAACTTTCTCTACTGCAGATAAGTAATTCAACTAGATCTTGTCCCTGTCCTCACCCTAGGACTGGACAGCCAAAGGAGAAGCGGCAGACAGATGAGCTCATCCTTTTGTCACTTTTGCTCTTTCCTGCTTTTTGCATGCCCCTTGTTAGTGCATAAGCACTGCAGGACAGCTGATTGGCTTGTCCTGCTTCTTTCTCTCCCAGTCTAAGGGATTGTAAGAAGCTGCTAGCAAATCAAATTTCGGTTCTTACGCTGCTTACATTTAAAAAAATACATTGAGGGCCCATTCACACTAGCCTGTTTGCTAAAACGATCATATTAGCGGACAGGCTAGTGCATTGTGACAGCTCTGGTAGAGTGCGGGTTGTATCGCACACTGTTGGAGCTGTCACTGTTTAAATTTTTTTTTAAATGTGGCGTGTACAATGTGTGCACTCTATTCAGGTCTCCACTCTACATTGCATGCACTGTGCTGCCATGTGGCGACCTGCAGTGGCATCCTTTGCACTGCAAACAAAAATGGCACCGCACTGCCCATCACACCCTTGTTGTGATGTTAATGGGACATGCTGCAGGTCCTTGCAGTGACCTGTGTTGATCCAACGCGGTTACACAGTATGTGTAAACAGGCCCTTAAAAATTGTTGCTGCATTTTTGTTTTTTATATCTTCCTGGAGTTCTGTTTTAAAGTAAACCCGTCACAAGTGTAAAAATACAAAAGCAATATGATACATTACAAAATGATCAGCACAAGCTGCTTGTCCATACCTTTTTTTTCCTGAAACAGAGACTGTCACCTCTATTCACAACATGTGCTAAACACATTTCTATAGTCATCATAATGGCCACTTATACTAGGCCTCTCTGCACTAGAAATGTGTTCAGTGTATGTTGAGTTATTCGTGGCACTTATCTCACAGAAATCTGACCATTCCGAGAAAGCTGGAGCCCTGTAGTTCCCACCTACTTTCCCCTCAACTTTTACATCACCAGTTTATTTCTACACCTGTAAGCAAAGTCTTGTGAGAGTGTTATTGACAGTGCAGAGACCCTCAATTCCACTGATATCCAGCTTCACAGAGTGGACAATTTTGAAGTAGATGGGACTCTTGAAATAACGGCCATGATGGCGGTGCCCAGCAGCAGAAAATACAGGGCCATGCACATAGGCAGTTGAAGCTGTACAATATATATTCCAGTGTACTTTTCCCCCGCCATGGAGCAACAGGTATCTATGGCTCAATGACCACAGCCCCTATGGCACTCTACTGTGGCTGTGGCACTTTGTGGGGTTTTTTTTGTGTGCCTTTGGCAGATTTTCTTTAACACTGTTCTCTGTGTCCCTAGTGTGCCCCGTTAAAGTGCTATTCGGTTCACTTTCAGGGCCCCTTGGCTTTTGTCCTCCTAATGCTGGGTGCCCCCAAACTGTACTGTAACTTCAAAAAAGGATTTAGTAAATACTGGTACCCAAAAGTGTTGAACAGTCTTTGAACAATGAGAAAACTCTAAAAAAAACATGGTTCTATCCCATTGTAAAAAAATAGAGATGGCATGCAAAACGAAATTTTTGCCATTTACAATTTTGAGAAAACTGTTTGGAAAATTAGCAATGAAAATTACTTAAGGTTTAAAATCTGTGAAAAAACAATAGTAAACAAAAACTGAAAAACTCCATAAAGCTAACAGTGAATAGGAGTCACACCACATCAAATCTATCAATATGTATGGTATACTAATAATGTTAAACACTGGAGAACTGGAGCAGGACCGGTTGGCTTCCATTACGCTTCTACTTTGTATCTTTCTGTGTTTTTTCTGTGGTTATATCTATAGAGGATTCAGTAGAGCCAGTAAGGTTTATGGTGAAGTATGAGATATTTAAAAAAATACATCACTTCCATCTCTTCATAATTTAGATTTAATTAAAGTGACACTAAACAGGAGTTTCAGGAGAGAAATTTAAAAAATGTAGTCAAGTACCTTAAAGTGACATTAAACCCTCAGATTGTTTAACATAAAACAATACTGTAATGTGCGCCTTACTGTAATCCATGGTAGTTTCCCTTCTCTTTGCTGCTCTTCCTTTTAAATCTGTATCTGTTCTCATGCTGGGCAGAACTTCTGTTTTGCAGCAGACTGCCTTGTCTCAGGAATGGATACACGGTGTCTGTGTATACGTTTCTATAGGCTTGAAACCTGAGCCAGCACTACAGGAAGAGGCCCTGAGCTGCAAAGGGAAGTTCTTCCCAAGCATGAGAAGACATGAGGGTTTAAAAGGAAGAGCAGCAAAGAGAAGGGAAACTACCATGGATTACAGCAAGGCACACATTACACTATTGTTTTATGTTAAAAAATCTGAGGGTTTAATGTCACTTTAACTATTAACAAAAATGTATCTTATTTGTGTATCACTCGGCTGTAGATCCTCAAATCATCTCTGAATTGGTGCTGACACTGTCCTTCCTTCTGGAGGGTGACTACTTTTGTTCCCCATGGTCCCTGTGTGTGTTGTAATGTAGCCACTGCTCCAAGCTCACTCCTGTGATGGACAACAATCTCATGTTTAGTTTACTCCTTTGTAGTGAGATTGTAGTCCATCACTGTAATAGAGCAGTGGTACTTGAATGCATTTTTAAGATTTAACTTGTGTCACTTTAATTTCCTGCATTGTAAACAATGACATAAAAAGTCAACCGAATGCTTTTAATGTGGCATAAGATGTTTTAGATCTGTGATCTGTACACCTAAGTTCCCAGCGCCACCCCATCATAGGTGAGTAGTTGTTACACTTTCATTGCTGTATTTTATACAGTATGTGTTCATTTATTCTGCTTTACAGTAGGAAAAATGAGATGTAATCACTTGGCTTACTGGTAGCATTTTGTACCAGAAGCTCTATCAAGTAGTAATGTTTCCGTTTTTTCCTTCAGGAAGTATATGTCCCATGTATCTTACCCAGAGCTACACGCTTCCAGTTCTGGACACCATGTTTGTTAGGAAGAGATTTCGAGGTGAAAATTTTGCTTTGCAAATGCTGGAAGATTATGTGGACTCCTTCACAGAAGAAACACTTGGCCTGAGGTATCCTCTGTCACCGACAATGCATGCAGGTAACCTTCTGCTAGGGTCTTCCTAGTTCTATATAAATAATGTATATCTGAATACTTTTGCTCTTACTAATGTTATGAATTCATAACAAAATTGACCCATACATTATGCAGATGTCATTTATCACCTAGATGTGATAGAGGGTGTTAAAGTGTATGTAAACCCTAAATCTGTTTTTCAATATGTTTTACATCAAGCAGACAATTTTCTGCTTGAGAAGTGCAGATGGCATTCTGACAGTGCTGCTGCTATTTGTGGGGAAGCAGCTTAACATTGTCAGCCTGGAGCAGGAAGTACTGTTACTGGCAGGATCTCCAGGTCGGATCTCTGAGATAAGTTAGCATCAAGGATATCTCCATGCGTTTTCATGCGCATAGAAACTGAATGCAAGAGCAACCCAGCAACTGACCCAAACAAGACGTTTGTCCTTTGAAGCCGCTGGCCAGTGAAAGGCGAGTCTAAATAGGAGGTGTAAACAGCATCCTATTGGTTACTGTATGTTAGTGTACTTTCCAAATACTTATTGCACTTTGCTGTACCTTGTTAAAGGTCCATTATCATAACAATACTTAGGCGACCTCTGATTGAAGCCATTAGCTTACACACTGACAGACAATGTGACGTGCACAGTCCAGACCCTAAATATTTGGATGTTTCTGAAAGCTCAGAAATCAGCACTGGAAACGACACATCTCTTGGAGTATCTGGGTCTAGTTCTAGCCAGGGTTTTTCCTCCCCAAGATTTAAAGAATTGAATCCAGGAGACATCCAAATCCAACTCTGCGCTTCTACATGAGAGTTCTGGGCCTGATGGTAACCTCCTTCAAGGCAGTCCTATTTGCTCAGTACCACTCGAGAAACCTAGAACACAACATGCTGTCTTCCTGGGACAAAGTATAATCTCTAGAAAAACCTATTTGTCTAACACTCAAGACCAGATTATCTCAGGCTTGGTGGCCCAGGAATCCAGAGTTGGGAAAATCCTTCCTCCCGTCTTGGAAGATCATCACAATAGATTCCAGCCTGACAGAGGAAGCCTGTCTCCTTAATATTTTTCTGGAACTATGAGCGATTTGGTTGTCCCTGCAATGCTGGGCACCTCAGCTGAAGGGTCATCTAATCAGGATCAAGTCCGACAATGCCACGGCTGTGGTGTACATCAATGATCAGGGAGGAACCAGAAGGATTGCTGCGGTAAGGGAGGTAGATTAGTGCCTTTCACCTCAGCCAGGACATTGTTCTTTCATCTTTCTCTCTGGCTGCAGTACATTGGAAGAAACAATTCCTAAACTGCCTGGATGTGGTTTGTGCTGTATGGGTTTACCTCTCAGCCACTGACTCTCTTTTTGTCATTCCTGTTGGTCCTCATAAAGGGAAGCCAACTTCTTGTTCCACCATTTCTCAGTGGCTCAGACAAATCATTGTTGAATCTTATGGTCTTAAGAATAAGGCTCCACCTTTTTTTGTCAAGGTGCACACAATTACATGAGTGTCTTTTGGGCTTTTATGCATCAGGCAACTGTTTTATCAGGTGGATATTCAGGCCTCATCTGATGCCAGCTTTGGGCATAAGGTCCTTCAGACAACTATTTGAGCTTCAGGCTGCCTCCAGTTTCATTCTTTTTTGTTATGTGGGCCTGTTGGCATTTTGTTTGCTTTGTTGCCCGCTCCTCAGTTGGACTGCTTTTTGACATCCCATTTGAATAACTACTGATCGTGTGTCCCTTAAAAAAATAGTTTTTTTGTACTTGCGTTGAAATTCATTTGTTGGAGTTCATTAAGGGATACAGGCCCCATCCCTTTGTGCTCATTATCTACTCCTGAGCAGGGGTGTATCTACTGCAAGGCAAACTAGGCATTTTTCCTAGGGCTGCACTTTCCAGGAGGGCGCCAAAAATGCTGCCCCCAAACCAGTTAGGTAAGAGTAAAAAAAAATTATATTATAAATTATTCATAAATTACTGCTGGTACCCCTGGACCTGGTGCTTCTTTGACTGGGCGACCAACGTGTCCACCTATGCCGCCTACTCCTACATATTTGCCGGGTGCAGCTCCTTCCTCTTCCTGGTCAACATGCTGTGCAATATATTGGTGTGTGTGACTTTCATCCGGATGCACTGGCAGTTCATGCGCCGGACCTCCCGAGACCCAAACCTCTGACTTTAGGTAGCGGAGGAGCTTCCGCAGGACCCCAGGGCAGAGATCCAGATGGTCATCGTGCTCATCTGCACCTCTGAGGTGGTGAGTCCGGGGAAGTGCTGCCGATAAGCTCCATCCAGGGTTATGTCTCTAGAGCAGGGCAAGTTAAAGAGCCCAGCAGCCAAGGCAGAAGGTTGGTGACTGCAGAATTAAACAGCCCAGAATATTAAGGCAGAAGATCGGTGTTGCAGCTGCAGAACTAGAGACTAGCACAGCATGGCAGGGCAGGAGGGAATGGTTATTGTAGCTGCAGAACTAGGAAGCCCATCAAGCCAGGAATGGTGAAGGTGTCTATTGCAAAGGTAGAACTCGAGCATCACGCTACGTTGATAGCTCAACCCGTGCGCACTGTATTCTGTGACTGACAGGTTATGCAAAATGTCTTAAACAGGAAGAGGTGGGACTAATTTAGATTAGGGATGGGGGGGGGTTCTCGGGTTTAGTCTTGCCTAGGGCAGCACAAAACCAAAATACACCACTGCTCCTGAGTCCTGCTTTTCTACAAATCGAATCCTGCTAAAAGGTGCCCATACACCTTACGATTATCGGACGAAACTTTTCGTCCGATGATCGAACCGCCGTACGATTGTGTTACGGCGGCCCCATCCTGCCCCGATTATCGCAAGGTTCAATTAGCCGTAATTAAAGAAAAGCACCTTGACGAATTGCGGTAATCGACCGCACGTATTTTCGTTTGCCCATGAGCAGTGTAGATCGTACGATTTTTGACGTACGGAAACGCCACTAACCTTGCGAAAATCGTACGATCGACCGAAGTTTTTAAACCTGCTTGAAAGTCAAAAGTCGTACGATTGTACAATATTTGCAGTTGTACACTGCCCACGAACCTTGCGATTATCGGACGAAAACGCGATCGCATACGATTATCGTATGATAATCGTAAGATGTATGGGCACCTTAAGAGTGGAAGGGGTTATATAACTGCCTGGCAAACACATTTTTTTGTTTGCCAGTGTCCAAACCATCCTGTAGGTGGCAGTATAACCAATTCATATCAGAAAAACTACTGATCCTGTGTTCCCTAATGAACTCCAAGAGATGGATTTAACAGTACAAAGATCTTGTTTCAATATTTTGATTATGGGGCCCATTTTAAAGCTCAATCTTTAAAAGAAAAATTGAAAGGAAAAAACTATTGCACAGCAGCTTTCTTTAGAAATGTGTTTTACCCTCTGCTGGGTTTGCTACTATGAAGCCAGCAATGTGCAATAGAAATTAATGCAAGCAGAAACTAAGCCATGAGGAGAGCCCTGCATGGGGCACCGAAGGCTCCACACTGCAGCCTGCACTTTATGGACGGGCCATAAAATGAGGGCTGAGGTATGTATAACCTAGCGGAGTATAATGGACAGCCGATAGCGATATTCTCTCCCCAATTTAAATCAGACACATGTGTGGCGTTGATTTGTATGTGTGTGTGTATTTGCCATATACAATAATCAAAATACACAATTTTCCATGAAAGTGATCCTTTAAATAAGGCTGTTAACTGCAAGACAAAGAACAGAATGTCTCAAATGGCATTTTAGTCCTCAACCTCACTTTGTGCAAATTGATTTTTTGTAGGTATTCATCTTTTTATATACAAGAAGTTTGTGTCTGGTCTTCCTTCTATTTTAAGTCACTAAAGCAGCTTTACTTGTCTTATAGATTGTTCAATGATTCATACAATTGTTAACTTTTCACTAGCCTAAAGCATAACCATGTACTGTGAGAGATGGGAATGACTTGAGTTTCCATGGAAACAGTCATTGTGCCCAGTGTCAGCAGAGGTCTCAGTGCTGCATATTTTTAACCTTGTCTCAGTGGAGGGTTTGTCTCTTCCTGCTGCTGCATTATGCAGGGATATCCCAATCATAGACATACAGCAACAAGCTTTTTTCCTATTAGGATGGGTGGGGATTATCACAGACAGTCTGCATCCAGGGGCATACAGCCGTACCTGTACGCATGTGTACGCTCGGATTTAGGCCATTGATTTGTGCAGGTGGCTGTACTCACCACCCATGATTCCCTAGTGCAGAAATACACCTGTTTTTTATGGTGTATGGTGTCTGTGTGCATGAACCCTAATGCTTTCAATGATAGCGAACAAAACAAACATAGGAAATGCTCTGACAGCAAAAGGAAGTGACCTACATGTCTAATTAGCATTTTTTTAGTGCAGTTAAAAACGCATTTCAAACGCATCAAAACGCATTTCAAACGCATCAAAATGCATCGCAGTGCAACTGCACAGACACATGCAGTTGTAATGCAGTTTCTGGTGTGAACTAGGCCTTACACGAGTGCCCCCTTCCTATCCACACCATTAAGTATATAATAGATATATGCCTTGCACCTGCTGTGAGCAGGATGACCTTTAAACAGGTAAGCTGTTGCTGTTTAACAGGACTTTACATCTGTTCTTGTCCTTGTGCCATGGCCCCTTTGCTCTACCATCAGGGTGCAGTAGCATTCTTCCCAATACCTCCCTAAAGTTGGGTATACACGTGTCAATTATTTTGGTTCAACCTATGGTCTGAATGAAAAAAAATGGAACAGATTCCTCCATCAACACTTATGAGCATTGATGGACAAATAGCTGTTTGCACTGCATTCTAACAGTGTTCGATCAGCTGATCAAGAGATGCCGGGCAGAAGAGTGCTGACAGCTGCATCCACTGAGCAAATTGTGGCCGCTTCATCAAGAACGGGCCAAAAGCCATACTGTGTGTACCCTACTTTAGGGTAATTGTCTACGGGCAACAGACACAGAAGCAAGCAAAATGCCACTTTTCAGGGAAATATGACCTACATTTGAGATGCATTCCTTTTTGCTTGTGTAGAGAAAGAACACTTGTTAAAACGTAGAATTTCAGGACTTGCAATGAGAAGGGCAGCAGACACAACAAATGATGCATGTTAAAAGTTGCTGCAGTGCATACCTTCCAATTCAAAACCCAAACATCACATTACAGATAGTAAAATATTTAACCTACAAAAGTCTGCAGGGTAATAAACCTGACACAGGACAGGGAGACCTGGATAAAGTAAGGGAGTGGGCAACTACTGTACATGGCAGATGAGGTTCAATAATGAAAAATATAAAGTTATGCTCATGGTACTAACAATATACATGTAACATATTATTTTAGAAGAGGGGTTCCTCAGGGTGAATCTGTGATGAAAAAGGATTGGGGGGTCCTTGTAGACCACAGGCTAAGCAACAGCCTGCATTGTCAATATGCACTCCTGCAGAATAGCAATTCAATGAAAAGAGTAAAAAAAAAAAAGTTGAAAATAAATGTTAAATCTAAAAAAGAAATAAAGATTTTTTTAAAAGAAAAAAATAGTCAAAAAAACGAACAATGGGGCAGAGCTAGCAGTGCCAGCTAGCTCCGCCCAACTGTTTCCTATTGGCTGGCGCCTGCTAGAGTCTTCTAGCAGGTGCCGGCCAATGAATAACAACTGGGTGGACCCAGCCGTGAGGTCATTTGGGGACGCTGATCTGTCATTACAACTGGGCGGAGCCAGCCATGAGATCACGGCTGGCTCCACCCAGCTGTCATTTGCGAAGCGTAGCAAGCCGAAGCATATGCCTTCGCTTCGGCTGAGCCGTTCTGCCTCCTTCGGCAGCTGGACGGGCTATTGCGAATAACCCATGCGAAAAGCCCATACAGCAGCCCGTCGGTTTGACTGAACCGAAGGGCTCCCGCAACTGAAGCTAGCCGAAGGATTAGCCGAAGCTTCGGCTGATCCTTTGGCTAGCTTTGTGAATAGACCCCCGTTGTAATAGTGAGAGTGAGGGACCCCTTCATAATGGCCACACGGGTGTGCAGACCCAGGAGCAGAAATCTCACCATCACAGTTCCTCGAAAATGTGCAAAAATGTCTGGTAGTTAAAACCTAAACTCTGTCCATAACTTAAAGCTGAATTCCAGACTTGCACATCTGTACCGGCTCCTCTCCTGTACTGGGAGGATTGCATACTGTGCTACTCACAGTGTGCATTAGAAGCTGTAGCAAGTTAGATAGAGCTTGATTTCCAGGCTGAAGCATGTCCAGCATCATCTAGCTCTTTCCTGCTCAGTCTTGCTGCACCTGGCCCCACCCCTTTCATTCATTGGATTTCAGTTTTCTCAATGAAGACATGAAGACTCACCACCACATGTGGGTGTTATATAGGGTGGTCTGAATGCACGCACAGCCTGCCTAGGAACACCCCTTCTCCAAACTAACACCTGCCCATTAAGGCTTTCTGATATTTGCATAACTCCTCTCAAGAGCCAGGTCACTGCTTGCAACAGGGCTGAGGGTTCTTGAGAGGTGTACTGAGGCAGAGACTGCTGTGATGTTTCGAGGAAGCTATGTACAGCACTCCTGCTGGCTCCTCCCACCAGCCATGCTCGGCCTGCATTGCATAGAGAAGCATATAGACCCTGTGATGATGTCACTGGGTCTACAATAAGGTTAGTCATGAAAATGGAAAGCTTTTATTTAAACATTTCATTAGAATGTTGATGAGGGGAAAAAGAGGAACGAGAAAAGGCAAAATATAAGCAGAATAAACCAGCTTTAAAGGGAAGGAAGGTTTTGGTGTATGATTTCATAGGATAATTACTCCTTTCATGTCCTACTGCTATTCCCTGCTATCCTGAATAGACGTGGTGTTCGCTGTGTTACAATCGTGGCCTATTTATTCTTTGTTTTTTAGCCTGCAAGCAATATTTACATAAATACCCTGGAGACCAGGAGCTGCTGTGGGAAGTGGAAGGTGTGGGTCACTGGTTCCAAAGAACCCTTATTTCCAGTATACTCAATAGAGAAGCTCCAGGATTATCGGGTAAGTTCCATACAAGTCGAGTAGAATTTTCTTTGATATCATATAAGTTAGTGTTCTGTGTGTTTTACACTGTCGGCAATATCAGAAACTCAAAAAAAGAAAGAAGATGTCCACTTAGTGGCATTGAAGACAGATAAGTGTACTGTCAACAATCAGCATTGGGCTCCTGCACTATTATTTGGTCATGTTTACTAGGGATGCACCGATACCGGCTTTTCAGTGTCGAGTACCAATATTTTTTTTTCCAGTACTCATCGATACCAAATACTGATCTCGGAAGTCCCATTAGCCGGGAAGCCGGGTGGCGTGTAATGACTAATCGAGAAGCCGCCTCCATGCTCCCTCGTCACCAGGTGACGAGGAAGCATGGGGCCAGCTTTCTGGCTAATCAGGAAGCCGGGGGTGGGTAATGACTCACCGCCTAGTTTCCTGATTGGCCAGTGTCGGGGACCAGAGCGCCTCTAGGTGGCACTGTGGAGCTGGAACCTGATCCTGCAGTTCCAGTGCTCACCTGCAGGTGTCTCCCAGCAATTAGGCAATACCTGGTGCTGATCTGGGAGGGTATTTAACCTCTCCGCTGCAGTGAGGCCTGTGCTTCAGTATTGCTGCCATAGCCTGTATCCTGTTGCCTGTATCCTGTTCCTATTCCTGACTTGTACCCTGACTTGGACCTTACTCCTGACCCTTACCCCTGAGGTCTCTTGATCAGTGGCTCCCTCCTTGTTGTTCTGCTCCCCAGGGGTTGCCCTGTTGTCTCCGGGGTGTAATTGTTACCTTTATTTTTACATGTTACTTGCGGGTGGTGGTGGTGGGGGTGTTTATGGTTGTGGTGTTTTGGTGCAGCTAATAAATTATAGTTTGTAAGCATTTGTGGTCACGTATTGGTTCTCTTGTATAGATACCTGCACGTGGTGTGGGGACACCCGTGCACGGTATCGTGACAGTTAGCTTCCCAACCAATCAGGAAGCTGGACAGCAGGTCATTACCAGCTTTCTAAATGCATAATCTGTCTCATGAATACTATAGACCATTTAAAATGTAGGGAATACACAACATGTTAGCAAAGTAGTATGGAACTGGGAGAGAAGAAAAATGTGTCTTTAGTAGGCTCTTTTTTTCTATAGATGCACAGTTTAGTTACCTCCGGGTCTTGCATGCTGTATTTCAGTCTCTTGTGTATATGTAATAAAAAGACTAGCGTAATTAGGCATTGTATCTAACTCTTATCCTATTGTTCATCTCCGTAACTTAAACCAGGTGTACATACCAGTCCCGATAACATTTAAATATCCTGTAGATTCCATAGAGTTTAGGCTGTCCTGCCCCAAGGCTCTTACTTTATATTCCTAAGTACTTTTAGCTATCCAACAAACAGGGCAGTAAAAAATTGACAGTTGAAGGTCAAATACAAGGTGGAAAAGCCTCTCAATCTATAGCATATTGTATAAATCACTTAGCTTAAAGGCTGTTGATCCCAAACAGATGTTTCCTTGTCACATGGACACCATCTTCTTACATGCCACACTAGCTGTTCCTAGAACATCAGCAGACACACTTCTTTACTTGAGTATGTGGCATGCTCCCCCTACCAACCACTACCACCACTACCATGGCCAAAACAGTGAACAGGGCAATCAATTGCTACCAATACATAGGCAAATTATTCCTAAATTTCATAGCCTGATAATTATTCAGGCTATATATTGGCACCTTTTAAAAGTTCTAGTTTCCTGTCTGAATAATATTGTTCTGGCTTCAATGCTTCAGAAAGATGGACTTGAAACAAGCATATAGATCGGGAATTCCAATTTACCTTGCTGCCTGCTTGTTTTGGGTCAGTTATTCAGAAAGCATTAATCCAACAATAGCCAGGTGACTAGCAGTCACTGCTAACACCCTTCTATGATGACTGCAGGTATTCAGTAAGGAATCTAAGTTTTATGTCTGGTAACACATTTTTCCCCCAGAAACAGAAACTGACAAAGAAGAGCTGATTTCTCAGTGCACAGAAAAGTCCTCGCCAGAGCCTCCTGCAGACTCCCAGGCTCTGCATACCCAACATTCAGATCCTGAACTAACAGAAACTGGCCAAATAGAAGATACTGAGCAAACACAGGTAAGACTGTGGGATTATAACACTTTCATTTTTTATTTAAATTCTGTCATCTGTCTAGCTGTAAATGTATTGAGAAGCCACTTTTCCTAGCTCCATCCTTACCACTCACACAGCTCAGAATCCAGTAGGACAGGAGAAATCAATCAATGTCATGACTAGTGTACATAAACCTGTGCCTTATACCTCTACCAGTTCCACTTTCCTGTCTATCTAGAGCAGCCTTTCTCAACCAGTGTGTTGTTGCGCCCTGGAGTGACTTCTGGCATCCTAAGGGTGCAAATCTTGGGATGGTAGGACTCTGATATGAAGGGTGACTGAGGAATCTGCAGTGTAGTGGACGTGTGTAACGTACATGTACTACGTACTACATATAGAGTACACTGCAACAATAGATTTACAATTATCCTCGGCTAACATGAATGGGTTAAATGATCTATAGTACTATGGATCATTTAACCCATTAATATTAGCAGGGGATAATTGTGAATCTATTGCCGGCAGTGTATTGGGAATGTGTACTGTATATATCTACTACATATAGAGTATACACTGCAGACAATAGATTTACAATTATCCTCTGCTAACATCCTCTGCTAACATGAATGGGTTAAATGATCCGTAGTACAACTACATGTTATGTACATATTATGTACTATGGATCATTTAATCCATTCATATTAGCAGAGGATAATTGTACATCTATTGTCGGCAGTTTATACTCTATATGTAGTACATATAGTGTAAACACTGCTGACAATAGATGTACAATTATCACCTGCTAATAATCATTAGTTCTTAATAGGGACCCCCCTTGCCCTCAGTTACTGCTCGATGAAGGTGCCTCGCTGGTGAGGTTGTAGTCAGCGGCGCGCTGTGCTGGAGAGCAGCGGCGAGTCAGCGCTGGTCCGGTGGGAGGAGCTCCAGGTGGGGCCCTAACTTAGCTGGCCGGCGACTGCCAGAGGTGCCGCACGTGTCGGGATCCTCTGGCAGTCGCCGGCCAGCTAAATTAGCACCCCACCTGCAGCTCCTCCCACCGGACCAGCGCTGACTCTCCGCTGCTCTCCCGCACCGAAGGTAAGTGTGGAAAAAAACATAGCGCAAGCATCGGGGCATTTTGACAAGTACAAGTACTTGTTAAAATGCCCTGTTTTTTCCGCCCTCACCCCTTCAGCGCCCTCAGGCGGCCGATTGACTTGCCTTGCGGTAGCGCCGGGCCTGCTGCTGGGGTAACTAGGTATGGACCGACGTGGAGCTGGTGGTATATTATATACAGGTCTTCCTGCTGTGGCCACATTGGCCAGTTGTCTCCTCATGTCTGTGAACAGGTTAACATATTAGGATCTCTGTAGAATCCCTCATGTTTTTACATAACTAAATTCACTTTCTTAGGTCACTTTTTATTATGATTTGTTATTTCCCAGTACTTTAAACTGCTGTTATGAATTTATTTAACAAAGGGAAGCACCCCCTGGGGTACATGTACCTCTGATTGAGGAGCTGGGTGTTACAGCATTCCGCTTGACGCTGTGATAATAAATAAATCCTATTGTGCTTTTATTCCTCAAAGTGGGTGGTTCCTCTACAATGGCAAAATCAAATCAAAGCCACACATGATAATATCCTGCTGCTGATTCTTGCACATTCTTTATAAATATAATAGTCTTTGCTGGTTGAAGCATAATATCCTTAAATGTTTCTCTTTCAGGCAGAAGCAGAGGATGAGAAAGACAATGATTCCATTGCCCATAAGAGTAAGTGAAGTGTCATTGTTTACACTGCTGCCAGGGATGCTCAATGACGCATGTAGACACTGTGGGAGACAGTTATTAAGGTCCCGTTCACATATACAGTGGTGATTGTTGTTCTTCTGTACCTGACTAATGCCAATCAATGCTAGAGCACATAGAAATCACTGTTTTTTTATGTGCCCTGTTCACACCACAATGAGGGTGTGATGTGTGGTGCGGTGGGCTGCAGTAAAATTCAGATATATGGCACACTGGATGCCACCAGAGGTTATGGCACCGCAGTGCAATGTAAAACGCTGCCTGAATGTAGTGTACACATTGTACACTCCAAGTAAGATTGTTACCTTGCCTTGCATCGTAACAATGCACCCAGTGAACACTAACCGTGCGGTAAAGCATGGCGTTTTATCTCTCAATTAGTGTGAACAAGCTCTTAAACAGTTGTGTGTCATTTGTGGTTTAATTTGTGTGCTAAAATGTTAGCATAAATCTTTCTGTCTGTTTTACGACCAAAGCGACAGATTTAGCTCTACATGATTGTGTGGTCAAATAACTATTGCCCATTTTGTCTTTTCTGCCGCAACTTCAGTCACCTCTTTTGCAAGTTGATTTATTGTAATATGCAGAAAATTTTTTAACTAGTGCTGATATGCTTATTGTGGACATTTATCAAGCAAATTAGCGACCTAATTAACCACAAATCTGGCTGCCAGTCCTTTAGAAGTCTATGCAACAGGCTCTGTTGTCAGGGTTATTCACAAAAGGTTGAAGAGTTTGGAGAAGGCCGGAGAAGTGAACAATCTAGGACAACATAGCTGATTTGGAAAAATTCTCCAATTCAGATCACTTTCCAGTTCAGTTTTATTGTCCTAAATTGTTCACTTCTCCTGCCTTCTCCAAACTCTTCACCCTTTTGTGAATAACCCTGACAACAGAGCCTGTTGCATAGATATAACCCTGTGTGTGTCTGTATTTCTGGGCAGCCAAGTGCGCCCGTTTGCAAAGATTTAAGACAGATTTATTATTAAAGATGAGACTGATTTTCACTTACTTATTTTCTAAATACTGTAAACACATAATTTAGATGTGGTCAGGGTCAGGTTTTATTTTGTCGCAGAGCTACTTTAGAGCAGCTGGGAAAGGAATTTATGACCTAAATGACACTAAACGCAGGAGTTAAATCTCAAAAATGCATTCAAATACCTTAACTATTAACAAAAATGTGTTTTATTTATGCATCACACAGCAGGGCCTGTTGGCTTCCATTAAGCTTTGACTTTGTATCCTTCTGTGTATTTTCTGTGGTTCATTCCACAGAGGGTTCAGTAGAGCCAGTGAGGCTTATGGTGATGTATGAGACATTTAAAGGAGAACTATGGGGTCAGGGCTTTTCCCCATAGTTCTCCTAAGGGCAACGGGAGGACACAAACTAGCGTCCTCCCGTTACCCTAAGCTCAGTATACCGCGAGCTACAGCTTGTGGTATACTCAGACGCCGAAGCCGGGACGGATCCCGACATTACGGTCTGGATCCACCCAGCTACGTGAGGGACAGTGAGCCGTGAGGGACAATCACGGCTCTCTGCAGGGACAGGATTGAGAAGTGAGCGAGCGACGGTATGTGTTCGCTCACTTCCCGATCTATTGAGCCGACCTGTGACAGTTTCATTGTCACAGGTCGGCTAGGACTATGAGGCTGAGTGATTTTCACTCGACTCATAGTTCTCCTTTAAGGACTACATCACTTCCATCTCTTCCTAATTTAGATTTAATTAAAGTGACACTAATCTCAGGAATTAAATCTTAAAAATACATTCAAGTACTCTAACTATAAACAAAAATGTATCTTATTTGTGTATCACTCGGCTGTAGATTCTCAAATCATCTCTGAATTGGTGCTGACACTGTCCTTCCTTCTGGAGGGTGGCTATTTTTGTTCCCCATGGTCCCTGTGTATGTTGCAAAGTAGCCACCGCTCCAAGCTCACTACCATGATGGACTACAATCTCACCCTTAGTTTACTAATTTGTATTGAGTAGGGATGCACCAATAGCGGTTTTAGGTTTTATACTGATATATATTTTTTCGGTACTCGCAGATGAAGAAAACCGATACCGAAAGTCCCATTACCGCAGTAGAGGAGTGGTGCATGAATGCATTTTTAAGATTTAACTCATGTCACTTTAATTTCCTGTGTTGTAAGCTCCAAGCTCACTCCCATGATGGACTACAATCTCACTCTTAGTTTAATAATTTGTATTGAAATTGATGTCCTTATTGGGGTGACATGCAACAGAATTGATAAATGTTCCCCATTGTATTTATTTATGAAACTTGCATACAGATTGTAACCGCAATCATTATGACAATATTGATAAATGTCCCGCTGTGGAGGGCAAAGGACTAGTCATCATTATTGCCTGTGGTCTCCCTGGAGCTGATATTTACCTAGTATTGACTCGCCATGCTTTGTTCTGTAATGTTTATCTGTGTGGAAGTAGTCATCTTGGATGGTCATCTTTCATTTTTTTTCCTAGAGCAGCGGTCACCAACCTTTCGGACCTCATGGACCACTAAATTCACCAGAGCTTCCGTGCCGCTTCAATGACGGCCCAGCCTGCACGGCATCAGAGTGGCCCGGGGACCACCAAAATTGTCTCGCGGACAACCAGTGGTCCACGGACCACCAGTTGGCGACTGCTGTTCTAGAGGACTTGCATACAAAAGTTACCTTTTTCAGGGAACTGCTTATGCACAAATAACATCGTAAATCATTCAATTTTAAAGGGGAACTTTACCCATATCTTCAAAATAACAACAAAGGCACCTTTAGAAATATTTAGCAATGACAATCTACAAACAGATACTTATAGCTAATTGCCGGCTTTGTATTCTTTGCATACCTTAGTTTTATTTCCCTCCTTATTCTTCTCACAGTGGCCATTTTAACTAAGGGCAGATTAATATATCTCCCTTTACTTCCTGGAACTCTGGCACATGTGACTAGGACACGTGACCATGCATGTCATCTCAGGGGAGGAAAATGCCTTTCTCTGAGATCTCAGATGGGATTTCCCAGCAATGCTCTGCTAATGTAATCTTCCCAGGATGCAATGCTTGGGCAAGATTACATAATTTGTGCCAGAGTGGACCAGGAAGTGGAAAAAAAGAAATTGTAAGTAAAATTAAAATATGTTTGTTTAGCTAATGAATGTAAGACTATTTCATATGAGCATGGAAAGCTGTATGCTAATGTGCTTTATAGTCAAAGAGGGTAAATACGTTTATTTATATACTATTATGACAGAGTATAGTGCACTGGTATACCTATTGTGCGGCTGTTAGGTAATATCTCTGTTTACTAATAAAGATAATACCTACTGTTGGGAATTATTACAGTTTGCTAATATGAACAGTTTGAATTGTTGCTGCAGTGTGTAATGTTCAAACAAACAAACCTGGTGTAAGTTATTTGAGTAATAAAAGCCAATAAACCTAATGATTCTATTTTCCAGAACCTGGTGAGACTCCAGTCTCTACTCGCACCAGGAGTAGCCAGCTGAAACGGCCAAAGATTGGAAAGAAACTAGAAGATGCTGAACCAGAACCCGAAGTGGCTGATGAAAGCAGGTTTGATGGCGGCCTTACGTTTATTCAATATATTCTGATAACAGAGTTTGGGTGATAAAACCAACGGGACAGTCCATTTAATCATTAAAGTGTACCTGCAGCAAGCAAAGTAAAATGTCCACATTACAGCAGGCAGAATAAGCATCCTATACTTGGCTTCCCTGTTCTTGTCTGCCATCCATAATCTCTTGCCAGTGCTCCCAGAAACCATTTTTTCTTATATAGGGCTATTCATGCTTTTCCCCAACTTTATATGACAGTGCTAGGGCCAGCTGGGGACTAATTGCTGCATTGTTGGAGGCAGGTCATGTGCCTTTCAATACCTAGAAGTATTGGGTCTATTTAATTGGCACTGGTCATGGATTGGGTGGGGGAGCATTGATACAGTCATTTCAGGATTCATACTCTCCCTACTATAAAAAGTGAGCCAGTTACTTAGCTAACTATGCGCAAAGTACAGGTTTATTCTCAGTGGCATAAGTACAAAGCAGAGAATGATTAATTAGCGAATTCCTCCAATCAGGTCACAATGGGCAGCACACATGGGCTTTCCATTAATTCATATATTTAATCAGGCCTTTTTGAAATAGTGAATTATCAATTTTATCAGAGATTCACTATTCTTTTATATGTAGACTCACATCTCGATGTGTTATTATTCTAATTTAGGTTTTAAAAACTTTTCTGTTTAATTTGAAGCTACAGTATATTTGAATGACAGGATAGCCTTCGCCCAGTTCACAGAACACCGTGCAGTTCGGTGAAAAATTACAAGGAGTTTTGTGAATGGGCGAGGGGACAGGAAAGGTGAACGGTGCAATCTCTTCACAATCACAGTCGCATCTCTCATGCCCGCAGTGCCGGAAGATCACTGCTGTGGGGAGTATCTGGCATTACTTAGGAGAGTATTATTACACTAATTAGAAGCAGAACACATCATACATACATAGGATACACATTAGAGGTACATTATTGAACTTGTCATTCATTCGCCCATTCACAGAACACTTTGCATTCTGGGAAAATAATACAAAGAGCTTTGTGAACAGCGGAGGAGACAGGAAGGAGAAGACAAATGGAGCTAATGGTCTCTACGGCTTGAAGCGCTGGAAGATCACTGTTGTGGAGAGTATGCGGCATCACTGAGGGGAGGATTATTACACTAACCAGAAGCCAGCAGAACATGGGATACAAATTATTTCAGATACAATATTACATTGGTGTTGTATACCAAAAAAAGCTTTTAACTAAACTTTAGCTTTAAGCTGGGGGGCAGGGTGATTGCTGTAAATACAGCGCTCCCTGTAATACAAAAACATACCTAAGCAAGCATGTTAAAGTCACATTTAACATCTTCAAAATAACTAAATGCTGATAATTCCTCATGTGCTCACTAAAAATACAGAATAAAAAAATTTCCAGATACTTCTGTACTGAAGTTAGTCACAGTATATTGTTTTCTTTTATAGGATGGACTCAAAGGAACAGATAGTGGAGACCTTTAAAGAGCTGATCCAGCAGCTTGCAGAAGACAAAGACGAGAATGATATGACCAAACTTCAGGAGGAGATCTCAGCTAAACCTGTGCAAGACATGCTACATGACAGTCAAGAACTACAGAAAGCACTGCAGGAGAATGCTGACAATAAAGAGGTACAGTAGTAAATGCATTAACAATACTATATCATGCAACCCTGGTGTCTAAAAGAACCGAAACGCAATAAAAGGACTGTTATACTTACCTTTTTGGTAGCTTGTGTTTCCTACCATGTGTCCATTCAAGCGCCGAGGCCACCGTCAGACTCTTCAGTACTGGATACTTCCAGGAGTGCTAGATGCCTCTGTCCTCGTGCCGCACACAATAGTTCCTTTCTCCGACCCCTGAAATGACACGGTTACACTTCGGGAAAGATTTGTTGGATGGTGTAGGAGCTTATACAGGGCTGATGACTTCATCCTCCATCTCAAATGAAAGTGTTTGGGCTTATGACTGGCTGCTCAAGCCCAGGCACTGCATTTGGGGAGGAGGTCACATACTCACCCATATGGGAAGCACCTGGTATTTCACAAGAGCTCTGAAGGTGAGTATAAGTGGTGGTGGTGGCCTTTCAAAAGCCACTGCCCATTCATGGTCTCTGTAATGATCCAGCATCACATCATGGCAAATCACACTGCAATTTACTTTAAGTTAAAGGAAAGTTATTATTAAGATTGTTATTATTATTGGTAATTGTTTGCATAGCATTGTAATGTCCTCTAATTTGAATGTTATATACAAGCAGTGGCGTAACAACCGGGGGGGCAGCAGGGGCGCGGGCCCCGGGCGAAAAGTGAAGGGGGGGGGCGCCGGCCGAAAATGGCACTTTCGGCTAAATGCCGAGTGACCCTGCAGAGCCCACCATAGACTCTCTATGGTAGGCTCTGCAGGGTCTCAGGCGGGCGGTCAAGCCCTCTTACCTGTCAGCCCTGAGCCTCTGTCCGCATCCTTCTCCTCCACGATCGACTCCTCCGTCACTGGGCCCCGCCCCTCGATCGCCGGGCCCCGCCTCCTCGATCACTGCCGATGACGGGCCCAGCCACCTCCTGCGAAGCTGCTGGTTCCTCCTCACAGCCGCCAGTGACAGCCAGCAGCCTGGCTGTCCGAGCAAGATACCATAGCGACCCAGGCGGCCGCTATGGTGATTGTTACGCCACTGCTTCGGGAGCAGACCTGGATGTGAAGAGGTGAGTTGTAATGATGCATTTAAAGGTTTGGAGAACACGGGAGTGTAAAGCAGGCCATACACTAGTAGATTTCCAAACAAACGTTCGTACGAAAGATCTTTACCACCCAATAATGCCATCAGACACTTGATGAATGCTGGTCAAACTTTCGTTCGATTTTGGAATGAATGGAATTTCTCAAACGCATTTCTCAAACGAATTTCTCAGAGCTCTTGTGAATGGATTTAGACTGTAGTGACGAAAAAGCTCGAAGGAATTTCAAGCTTTTTCGTCACTACAGTCTAAATCCATTGTTGATTTGACATCATCAGCTAATAGAAATGTAAAAAAAAGTACTTTTGTGCGAAAGTTATTTAAAAAATCTATGCAGTGTATGACCAGATTAATAGATAAAGGGTATGGGGAAGGGGGGGGGATGAGATGACTTAAAGCCCATTTCTACCTTTGCAGAGGTATTTTTATAAAACATATTCCAGCAATGTACACAGAGTGTACATGAAGCAAGCATATGCAGCTGATGTATATGAACATAGAAACTTGCATTTTTGTTAGCGTTCCTCTTCATATCTTTATGGAGAATGGCTGCCTCTGTGCTGTGCAAGCAATGTGGGTATGTCTTCCCCCTACCCCACCCAGCAGTGTATTGCGTGCAAAGGCAGAGCTGGTGGCTAGTGATCGTGTTACATTGGGTGACAGGGAAGTGGGGCAGCTGATTACAATATGATGCCCTGGTGTCAGACTGAGTTTCCTGTGGAGAAAATTTTGAATTTTTAAGCTTCAGACCTAATAAAACCTTAAAAAAATGAAGAAAGCCTGCAATGTAAGTCATGAAAATGTGCACATGTATACATCATCACTGCACCTCTTCATTACCACAATAAATGCTAATCACTTACAAAGGTGGAGATGGACTTTAAAGAGAATAGGTTGTAAGCAGGGTAAGAAGGTTTTAACCTGCTTTGTACTATTTTCCTTGTACATGCCATTGAAATGTCTACCGTATCCAGCAAGGTTTTTATTCTATCTCCATAGTAGAACTAAGTCTGGGTTTACTTTGATTGCAGGAGTCTGACCTGGAGCCAGTGAATGGTGACATCACAAAGGACATTTATGAGCCTCAGCTGGTAATTGCACAAGAAATATCAACAGAAGCTTTGGACACCGAGTCCAATTTAGAGCCTGGAGATAGCGATAAAAAATCTCTCACTACTTTGGTTTCGGTCAACATGGATTTGGAAAAATCTTTTGAAGACTCCTTCCCAGACCAGGTAGCTAAAATCAATGTACTGTTTATAATCAATTTATGCAAGAATTTTTGGTTTTGTTTTGTAACTGACATGGTCTAGGTCAGGGGTCAGCAACCCACGGCTCCGGAGTCGCACGTGGCTCTTTCATCCCTCTGCTGCGGCTCCCTGTCCAGGGGCGGAACTACCGACGACGGGCGGCGGGAGAGGACACGGGCTGGCTGGTGGGGGGGAAGCGGGGGGGTTACATGTGTAACTGCACACTGTGTGCTGTTATTTCATTTAATTAGAAAAGTGGATTATAATGGGAAACATTACACTGTAATGTTGCCTATTATAATCTATTTCTATGATTAAATGATTAGACAGGGCTGCTGTTCTATCAAAGTTTGTGACAAGGTTGGGATGTGTGACCGTTTACGTGGTCACACATTTCAATGTAATCCCGCCCAGTTTTTTGGAGGTGAAATGTGTGACCACCAATAGGTGAAGCATTAGAACGCTTTCTCAGTTGTTCCAGGCCAGATCGGCATTGCAAATCGTATGTGCACGCGAACCAATCTGCCCTGGAACAGCTGTACGGTCCTGAAATGTCACTTCTATCCGACTTTGTGAGTCGGATAGAAGTGACATTTCAGGAATGAACAGCTGATCCAGGCCAAATCGGTTCTTCTGCACATACCATCTGCGATGCCGATCTGCCCTGGAACAGCTGAGAAAGTGTTAGAATGCTTGACCTATTGGTGGTCACAAATTCCACCGCCAAAAAACTCGGCGGGATTACATTGAAATGTGTGATCACATCACCGGTCACACATTGTAACTTAGTCACAAACTTTGAAAGAACACCGCCATCAGGGGGGTACGGCCGGTACCCATGTGAGGGATCTGGGCAGCCTGGGGGGCCTCTTACATGAGTATCAGCTGTACCAGGGGTGGCATGGCAGAGGCGACGGGGGAGGGGGTGGAGGAGGACAGGCCCCAGCAGCAGCAGGTAAGAGGAGTTGGGAGGAGGTGCAGGGAAAGGGACCCCAGCGACCAGCCCACCTGAGGCCCTGCAGAGCTCACCAGAGCGTCTCAGATGGGCTGTGCAGGATCTATGATTTGCTCTGCAGGGTCACTCTCTGGGGGGCTCTGCTGGGTCTCAGGTAAGCCCTGAGTGCAGTGCGTTACTAAGCCCACATATACCTATATACATGCTATACATAGCATAAAGGTAAAAAAGATATATGCAGTGTTATCTTCATTTTAGATGTCAAAGGGGTTTTGTGGCTCCCGGTGTTTTATTTTCTGTGAGAAACGGGTCCAAATGGCTCTTTGAGTGTTTAAGGTTGTCTTAAGCCACTAAGACTTTCAAAGATGAAGGCCCCTAGTCCACTAGCTTATATTTCTCAAGTTATCTCTGTCATAAGAAAGCAGGTGCTGTGATGTATTGTTGATAATGTTTCCTTCATTTTATTTATTTATTAGATGGTTGAACAGCCACCATAAAAACATTAGAAAAGCATTATATCATATTTTAAATAGAACTAACTAACAAGTCCCATGCAAAGTACAACTTATACTGGGAGAGGAAGGGGCAGCACTCTACACTGGTCAGGAACCTGTTGCTTTGTACATTGCTGTCAATCAACAACTTAAAGTGACACTAAACGCAAGAGTTAAATCTTAACAATACATTCAGGTACCTTAACTATTAACAAAAATGTTTCTTATTTGTGTATCACTCGGCTGTAGATCCTCAAATCATCTCTGAATTGGTGCTGACAGTGTCCTTCCTTCTGGAGGGTGGCTACATTTGTTCCCCATGGTCCCTGTGTGTGTTGTAAGGTAGTCACCGCTCCAAGCTCGTTTTTTCCTAACTTTTTAAAATTGTTTTAAATATTTTAATTTTATTCATTTTTTTATAAACTTTTAATTTTTTTACATTTTATTTTCATTTATTTTTAATAAATAGTAGGATCTACAGCTGAGTGATACACAAATAAGATACATTTTTGTTAATAGTTAAAGAACTTGAATGCATTTTTAAGATTTAGTTCCTGAGTTTAGTGTCACTAAATCTAAATTAGTGTCATTAAATCTAAATTAGGAAGAGATGGAAGTGATATATTCGTTAAATGTCTCATAAATCACCATAAACCACACTGGCTCTACTGAACCCTCTGTGGAATGAACCACAGAGAATTCACATAAGGATTCAAAGTCAAAGCTACTTGAATTAATTTTTAAGATTTAACTCCTGAGTTTAGTGTCACTTTAAACTTGACATGGTGGCCACGCATGCTGTACAAAAGAGCAGAATGATGACCTCTTCCGTTTGCTGTTTCTTCTTAATTGTTTAAAAACAAGCTGCTGACCAAACTGTATTGGTAAACTGTAGTTGAGTAAAGATTTGCGACGTTTGAGATTGAGGCTAGGTTCACACCTAGGCGATTGCACTGGTGAGCTGTTTTCACGCGGCTGTCACGCATTTTGGTTGCACAATTTTGCTTTGAAAGCCGCTCAGTTTTCAATGCATGAGATGTCTATGGGACCCAAACAGGATCAGGTGACCCTTGCAGTGTGGAGGTAGCCCCACTGCAAGGGTTAATGAAAATTTTAATTGAAGCTAGAAAAATATAAGTGACCATGAATCACTGGCCATGGTAACCAGGGCGTTACAGTCCTGCCAAAAGATCACCACAACCAAACAACAAATAATGGGACTATTTATCCAGTGCATGTAACATAAGTTGTTACACACATATATAGTCTCCAAGGGGGATTATTAAAGGAGAATTATGAGGCGAGTGATTTTCACTCAGCCTCATAATCTGAGCCGAACTGTGACAATGAAACTGTCACAGGTCGGCTCAGTAGATCGGGAAGTGAGCGAACACATACCGTTGCTCGCTCACTTCTCGATTTATCCCTGCAGAGAGCCGTGACTGTCACTCACAACTCCCTGCAGGGATTCCACCCCTCCCTGCTCCGGTCCTCCAGCGCTGACTGGCGGAACGGACAGGGGAGGGGGGCGGGCACAGCTGGCTCTGGCTCTGGATAGGCAGAGCAAGCTGTCAATCCCGCAGCTGGGTGGATCTCGACAGCGATGTCGGGATCCGTTCCGGCATCTCAGTATACCGCGAGCTATACTGAGCTTTGGGTCACGGGAGAACGCTAGTTTGTGTTCTCCCGTGACTCTTAAGAGAACTATGGGGAAAAGCCCTTCACTGACCACCGGAGAGCCCGCACTGACCACCGGAGAGCCCACACTGGCTGCAATTAACCACCAGATAGCCTGCAATGACCACAAGAGAGCCAGCACTGGCCGCTAGAGAGCCCCTACTGACCACCAGAGAGCCCCTACTGACCACCAGAGATCCCCACTGACCACCTCTGAGTCCACACTGACCACCTTTGAGCCCACGCTGGCCACCTGAGAGCCCGCACAGCCCACCTGAGAGCCCGCACAAATGCAAGTATTGGTGCATCCGTAAATTTTACCATTGGAGTCACCACAAGTTTGCAAATGTTACCAAGGGGTCCAGGTCCTAGAGAGGGTGAGAACCACTGTCCTATAGGATCAAATAATTTTAATACACATGTATACTTTTAACAATGAATGTAATAAATGATGATTTTTGTATAAAAGGTATGTGCGTGCGCTGGATAAAAAGTTCCATTGTTTGAATTGTGGTTTTGGGTTTAATGTGAAGGGATGCCAGGGCAGCAATGATACACTAATTTAGTGAGCTCCCTCTTTATAAACACTAATGGCTGCCAAAAGATAGTATTCAAATGTAGAAAGAGACCTCCACCGCTGCTTCCACATAACAGTTCCTCTACTTGGGCTCATTTCAGGTGCCGGTTTAGAGGGCCATCCATACCCCACAGCAAATGCAATCTAAAAAACAGCCGAACACTGCCAGTCTTCACCCAGCGCTTCTTTATCTGTAAAATCCAGTCAGCTCCACACATCTAACCCCTGCCTACTGGTCAGTCACCTCTAACATTTTTCACCCAATCAGGCTTAGTCATACAGTCAAAAGATAGCGTTACACTAGTGTATCTGGCCCATAAAGGAACAGCATAGGCAGAAGAACATGATACAAAATTAAAAAAATTTAAATTAATAAAATGATACAATACAAAATTCTACATAGGGGTCATATAAACCTAATGTCATTGGACCTTCTTAGGTCCCCTTGTTGGTAATTCCGATTTGGAGGTGACCAGCAGAGTGGGTACTTGGAACTAGAGGGCAGTTATTGCATATTTGACCCGTGCTCTTTAAAACTAGAGAAATGACTTGTGACTTTTACAATTTTTATTAATGAAATTCTCCACAGGTCCTTAATCCCGATGAACTTGAGACCACAACACATGAAAATGTAATAACTGCGGTGGAGCAGACAGAAATACAAGAAGAGGAATTCAAAGAGAGGATGGTGGAGAAGCCCAATGAATTATGTGTAGCAGAAGCAAATGAGGACTTAACAGATAATGGTCTACCTGGATACACAGAAAGTAATTCCGGAGAAGAGTGTGCTACATCGGATGATGCCTTGACCCTAGAGACTGCCTCTATAGAAACAACAGTCAACGTCACAGCAGATAGTCTTCTCCGACAGGGCCCTCTGCTTGTGGTGGAACTACAAGATGTGGCTTTCCAGCAGCAGTCTGATGGACAGAGAAGTGTTTCTGGAGACCAGTCTGAAGGGTCTGTGGAGACAGATCAATCTGCACGGAAATCTGTGGAAAGAGGTGGGGATAGCAGCTCGGAGGATATGGAAACTGGGATTCCTGTTATAGAAAGAAGAGGAGGATTACGCAGGAAGGCCAGGGCATACAAAGGACCTGCTAAGAGAAGAGCCAAGCTGTCGGCTTAGGCGACGGCAGTCTATACCCATTATGTTAACTACGCAGTATTTGTAAAGCAAGATAATTTAGCATTTTTTTAAAAGTTCTATAAGGTTGTGCAACATAGATTTCAGACATTTGTAACTGTTCAATTTTAAAGTTTTCTGGTTGGTGTTACTTTTTCTATTTGTGTTTTCTTTTTGTGTATTTTACTGAGTTTCACAACTTTTCTTACACATACATAGGCTTTACGTTAACATTAAATAGAAAAAGCACAAATGTTATTAGATCTGGTTCTGAAAGAAATATAATTGGAAATATTGAAGAACAAGTAAAGCCATCTTTGGATATATATATTTCAAAGCTTGTGTATTATTGAGGCAACATTACAGTCTAGAGGGACTCTCTGTTTTCTAGAGCTGCAGCTAACGATTATTTTCAAAATCGATTAGTTAGCCGATTATTAAGTTCGATTAATCGGTTAATCGGATAAACAATAAAATAAAGTTTAAAAAATGGCTCCAGTGATAGGACTACTAGTTTGTATTGAGGTTGTAGTCCATCACAGGAGCAAGCTTGGACCGGTGGAAGTAAAAAAGAAAAAAGATAGTGTGGTGTGCAATATAGTGAAATGGAAAGTGTAAAATTATACAGCAATGAATGCAGAATGGCACCGGCTATAGAGGACTACAAAACCCAGCAAAAGCACATTATACAGCGCAATGCAGAATACCGCCAGCTATAGAGGAATACAACAAATCCCAGCAATAGTACATAATAGCTGGCGGCATTCTGCATTGCGCTGTATAATGTACTATTGCTGGGTTTTGTAGTCCTCTATAGCTGGTGGTATTTAGCATTGTACCACTTTATAATGTACTATTGCTGGGATTTGTTGTAGTCCTCTATAGCTGGTGGTATTCCGCATTGCACTGTATAATGTATTATTGCTGGGACTTGTAGTCCTCTATACAGCGCAATGCATTATACCACCAGCTATATAGGAGTACAACAAATCCCAGCAATACATTATACATACAGTGTATAATGCATTGCTGGTATTTGTATTCCCATGTATAATGTACAGTACAATGTACCATCAGCTATAGAGAAATACAAATCCCAGCAATACATTATAGAGCACCATGTTGGGGGGAGTGCGGGAGTGCAGGCTTACCTGAGCAGTCTTCCAGCAACTTGCTTCTGAGATCGGACCTGTCTATGGGCGGCTGTCATCCCCCCACCCCTGCTCCTCCTTACTACATCTCCCCGCGTGCCTTGCCGATCGTGGATGGGCAGGAAATGTGAGGCGGGGAGGAGGTGTGGCGTGTGGAGAGTGGATGCGAGCGGGTCTGGCAGCGGCGAGCGTGAGGTGGGGAGGAGCTGCGGCGCACAGCGTGTGGAGCTGTGAACAGGGCCAACTGATCGAAAGCCGATTAATCGATTATTGAAAAAGTTGACAACTTTTTCAATAATCGATTATGTCGATTAGTTGTTGCAGCCCTACTGTTTTCTCAACAGTATTCTCTTCTGATGAGGAGGTTTTACATGGAGTGCTGTGTGGTCTTACCGTATTATTAAATTTGATAGAGTATACACACAGTGCATTCCCTCCTGCACTGGACCATGTTAGTTTTTGGCACTGCACATTAACATTAATGCAAGGGTAGGCAATTTCGGCACTCAAGCTGTGGGGAACTAAAAGTCCCATGAGGCATTGCAAGACTCTGACAACCAAAGGCAAATGCATGATTAGAATTGTAGTTTCACCACAGCTGGAGTTCCAAGGTTGCCTATCTGTGAATTAATGTCACAGCAGGCTGTTATATTACACCGGGGGTAGGCAACCTTGGTACTCTAGCTGTTGTGGAACTACAAGTCCAATGAAGCATTGCAAGACTCTAACAGAGGCATTGAAATGATGGGAATTGTAGTTAAAGCACAGCTGGAGTGCCTGAGGTTGCCTATCCCTATATTACACTTTAATTTTTGACCAGTTTGCCCTTATTTTGGAAAAGCAGTGCAAATCCAGGAAACAATTGCTCAATTACTTGTTAATGCTATCCAGGAAACAAAGTCCACTCAGTTTAAGTTTACATTTGAGTTTTACATAATCCATAGGTTTTTGCAGAGTACCAGTTTCTTGTTATAATAGGGGTGTGTCAGGTGTGCCTGGGCACAGCCTAATCACCTCGAGCATAGGGTTGCCACCTGTCCTTGATTCACTGTCCGGGTTTTGAGTCTTGTGTGTGCTGTGTCTAGGTTTCAGGCCAGATGAAACCCGGATTCAAAATGTCACAATGTCGGGCGGACAGGGCACCACAGGGTCCTGGTGTTCCACCTTGAGTGCATGGAGGAGGCACGGGACACGGAGGAACGCTGTAGCTTGGGGAGCAAGGAGGTGTCTGAAACACAGAGTGCAGATAAGTCTTGAAGAGCACACTCTCCATGCTGCCTCTCCTCTCCCTCCCTTGGCTATCTCTCTCTTTCTCCTGGCTGTCACTCCTCACCATCTCTCCTCACTGTCTCTCCTTGCTCTCTCCCCTGGCTGTCTCTCTTCACTCTCTCCCCTGGCTGTCTCTCCTCACTCCTGGCTGTCTCTCCCTCTCTCCTGGCTCTATCCTCACTCTCTCTCCTGGCTCTATCCTCACTCTCTCTCCTGGCTTTCTCTCCTCGCTCTCCTGGTTTTCTCTCCTCGCTCTCCTGGCTTTCTCTCCTCGCTCTCTCCTGGCTTTCTCTGCTCGCTCTCTCCTGGCTTTCTCTCCTCGCTCTCTCCTGGCTTTTTCTCCTCGCTCTCTCTCCTGGATGTCTGTCCTTGCTTTCTCCTGTATATTGTGCAAAAACATTGCTGTGCACCGCCACAGTGTTCAGGTTTCGCTTGAAGAAAAGGTGGCAACCCTACCCAAGGGCAACAACGAAACCGCCACCAACACCGAGCGGGCGCCATATTTTTAGTCACTGAGCCGGTGGGGAGATCTCAAACATCTCTCTGTGACCGGCTTAGCAATACAGAGTACAGCAGCACTTGCCACTTACATTTCTCACATAACATCCCCGGGGTACTGCGCTTCCCAGGCTTCCCATCCAATCAGGAAGCTGGGCGGGTGTTCACATGACCACCTGCCAGGCTCCCTGCTAGAAGAAGTAACAGACAGAGATGGGAATCTGGGATGCCTCAGGTGTGTGTGTATAAATGCTGTAAAGTAAGAATGCTTTCAGAAATAAACATTATAATAGTTTATTTTTGTCAATGAACGGAAGAGAAATCTGAATCAAGTCAATATTTGCTGTGACCACCCTTTCCCTTCAAAACAGAATCAATTCTTCCAGGTACACTTGCACACAGTTTTTGAAGGAACTCGGCAGGTAGGTTGTTCAAAACATCTTGGAGAGCTAAACACAGATCTGGGGGCTCTATGGGGGCCAAACCATCACTTCCAGGACTCCCTGTTCTTCTTCAAGCTGAAGATAGTTCTTAAAGAATTGGCTGTATGTTTGGGGTCGTTGCAGAATAAATTTGGGGCCAATCACACGCCTCCCTGATGGTATGGCATGATGGATACCGTATATACTCGAGTATAAGCCGTCCCGAATATAAGCCGAGGTACCTAAATTTGCATTAATGCAGACCCAGACTTGCAAGGAACCTCCACCAAGCTTCACTGGACTCCTTATTGTACCGTTCTCCAGCCCTTTGGTGAACAAACGGCCTCCTGCTACAGCCAAATATTTTAAAGTTTAATTTATCAGTCCAGAGCACCTGTTGCCATGTTTCTGCACCCCAGTTCCTATATTTTCGTGCATAGTTGAGTCCCTTAGCCTTTTTTCCATGTCAGAGGTATGGCTTTTTGGCCACAATTCTTCTGTGAAGTAGTGATGAGCCAAACAGGCCCGAGTGCGGTTCGAATTCGAACTTTAGAACATCCAAAAAGTTCAAACTCAATGCAAATCTATGGGGGTAGACCTTTCCAAAACAATTGTCCCCTTTAAGAGGGCTTATATGCAAGTTATTGGCCATAAAAGTGATTGGGGATCCGGGTACTACCCTGGGGGACAGGAATCAATAAAAAAAAAACTTTACAAAAAATACTGTTTTTAAAGGAGCAGTGATTTCAACATCACTTAAAGGGTAACAATACAAATGAAAAATTCCATTAAATATCATGCCCGGGGGGGTCCCCTTAGCCTGCCTGTAAAGTGGCGGATCTGTACAATGTATAGAATCCGCTGCAGCAAAACTGAAATTTCTAAAGAAAAAAAAAAACTTTTTTTTTTTTATTTAAAGCGTGCAGTTCTCCCTTCCAAACAATACCAGACCCTTTAGGTCTGGTAGGAATGTTAGGAGGGACCCCATTTAAAAAAAAAAAAAGCGTGGAGTTCCCCCCAAAAGTTATACTAGACCCTTTAGGTCTGGTAGGAATGTTAGGAGGGGCCCGATTTTTTTAAAAAAGCGTGGGGTTCCCACCAAAAGTCACACTAGACCCTTAAGGTCTGGTAGAAATATTGAGGAGGGACCCCTTGTAAAAGAATTGTGTGTGGGGTTCCCCCTCAGTCATACCAGGCCCTTAAGGTCTAGTAGGAATTTTAAGGAGGAAACCCACCCCCAAAAATGGGGGGGGGGGGGGGAATTGTGGGGGTACGGGCAGGGGGGCTTATTCACATCATGGTACCCCTTTAATAAAGGGCCACCAAGATGCGCCCCCCCTTGTGAATGAGTACTTGTACCCCTACTCATTCAATAAAACAATTTAAATAAAAAAACAGACTTTTGTAAAAAATTCTTTAATTGAAAAAAAAAACAGAACAAAGGTCGAACAGACCGCCAAACGTCCTTATAGTTTGTGTGTTCGGCGAACAGACGAATTAGCGATGTTCGAGTCGAACTCACGGTCGACTTGAAAATCCAGCCCAACTCTACTGTCACGACCTCTTCTGGCCAGACTTCTCCAGACAGTAGATGGGTGTACCTGGGTCCAACTGTTTTCCGCCAGTTCAGTGCTGATGGCACTGCTGGATATCTTCCGATGTTGAAGGGAAGTAAGCATGATGTGTCTTTCATCTGTTGTATTAAGTTTCCTTGGCTGACCAATGCGTCTAGGGTCCTCAATATTGCCAGTTTCTTTGTGCTTCTTCAAAAGAGCTTAAAGAATTTCTAAACCTTCATGTTTTTTGCATAG